TATTAACCCGTGATAATCGGTGATATATTTATTGCAAAGCAATGGGCTTCGCCCTACATTAAAATACTTAAATTTTTCGTTATATAAATATCGAATTATATCCCATCCGGTAATGGATCCTCGGCCTTCAATCCACGTCGGGCACGCGACAGATCTAAAAGAAAAATAGTTGATTATTAAGATCTGTTTTTAACCCGCAAGTTATAATAGAATTACTTACCGATACGTCCTCTCCTACAATCAGTGGATGACGGCGGAACTCGAACCTGATTGGCTTTCGGCTTGTCGAGTTTGATTATGCGGTTTAATCCATTTGCATTGTTCAAGTCTTGTCGAGGAATTGTAGGAACAATTGATCCATTCACATCCCGCTCAATTCCATTCTCAAAATCACTATAGACAGAAGAAAAATCACGTAGATTATGGAAGAAGGTACTGTGGACGAAATATACGACGCTGTGTCGAATACCACTCGTGATTGGAAGATTACCATGTAACAAGAAACGCGATGAGAATGCCACAAGCTGTCCTGGCCTTAGCGGAATTACGATCTGAAGCTGTGGAAAACAAAGTTCACCTCCGGACCAAAACTCATTGCTTCTATGTGATGGATTTTCTATGGTATGAAAATAATACTTATTAACCGCATTTGTTGCTTGTGTTACGGAAGTACGATCATTGAGATATTCCAAATGAATTTAGGTTCGATTATCCGGGTCCACAATACACGCTGGTTCTAGTATATAGCGAAAATCTACCAATCCATCCAACGAGTGAAAATTCTCACGTGCTGACATAATAAGTCGGATTTTTTCTCTTCGGGTATTACACATAGTGGCACTATTAGAAACACCATGTAAGTCCTTAATTTCTTGAAGGTGTCTAATCTTTCCCCACAAATTCTTGAGATGCCGTCGTACGGTTCGTCTTTTAATTGGTTCCCTAAAACCCAACCATTGCATAGCCTCGAATCTCTGATTCCTCCGATGCGTCACCATTATCAAGTAATGTTAAAAAATCGGGAGGCAGTTTAGGTGCTTGTCCAGGGTTGGCAAAATTGCGCAGAAGAATGAATGAATCATGTGGCGTAGCACAGTATAGTAATGGCCCTGTACCCTTTTTTCTCATAAATTCGAAAAAGAAATACCTATCTCAGAAATGTAAAAAAGAAAATGCCTATTCAATAGTTAGGCTATCTTCCGCAATACCAAAGGTACATATTCCAAAAATGCATTACACACTCTCATACACCTTCACGAAACAAATAAAAATATAAGCCTGAATTGTTGGTCAAACTTTATTAAAACGTTTTAGCCAAATGCTTCAAAGAAAAAAAGCTACCATATTCCTTGCTTAAGCAAGTGACCGTGGACAAGCTTGTCCGAGCTCGTCAAACCAGTGTTAATTTGACAGTAATTTATTTTAAGACACGATGAAAAATCACGTGCGCGTTACAATTTGTAACGTCGATCACTTTTTGCCTAGGATTCATGAGGACGGAATTATATACTTTATTTTCAAATATGTACTATGTTATAACTACAATTATATTTTTACTATGCATTGATACAACTCGAGTTAAACAAAACATGCTAACTAATAAAAAAAACGAAGTTATACACTTTTTCTTTGACTATTGAACAACATAAAATATACTACTTTTTTCCCCCTCCTCTCTTGCCTATTTCTTTTTTATTATTATCCTTTTTTGATGGGGGCGTATACGTCATTTCTGTAACAAATAGAGATGCTTTAATTTTTTCAGGTGGTGTATGTAAGCCAGCTTCCATAATATATTCACGTAGTTCACTTAAACTTTTACAAAGCATTTCCTATAAACAATAGAATAAATTTAATTTGTACATACAAGAACTAATTGAAAAAATATCTCAAAAAAATAAGGACGTATACTTTAAATAAAAGGAATTTCGGGATGCATTGACGCATCCGCACTAAATTAACTTGACTTGTTGGTAATTCCGTTCGTATTACTTCTCTAAATAAGTATAATTCTCGATACGGTACGGTCATTTCGTATACAATTGCATTGTGATCTACAATTATTTAAAAATCAATAACCAAGACAAAAAACATAAGATTATCATTAAATATACTGAGAACATTTACCATAAATCTGCAAAGCGTAAAGCTTCAATAAATTGAAAATAGTACTATCCCCACCATAAACTCGAGCTATTCTATTTAGCATTATTTTTAACATTTTCCCAATCTTTATTTTGTCGGTAAAATAATGCGAATGTAGTCGTTGGTTGGGGGGTCCACTAACCTCACAAATTGCGAACTCTACCTTTGGAGGTTTTGTGGCCCAAACGGCATCAATCTTTCGTCCCGAACTTCGGTCTTCTGCGTCGTTCTTCTTTAAATCGGCGTCTTCAGCCGATGCGTATAAGCATACCTCGCCACTTAATAAATAGATAACAAATTGATATTTATCTGATGATCGTTAAAAATAGCAATTTAAAATGATACAATCCATTACTTACAAAAAGAGATCCAGGTCCGTACTTTTTTTTCGAAATAAACTTCGAATTACAGGTGTTAAGAAAATCTCTCGATACATCCTTTCCGACATGTTGGTATAAAGAAGATCATTTCCATGATCAAAAGAATTGGCCCTACATAAAGTCAATAATTGTGCGGATATCAAAGAAACTATTATAAGAAGATGATGCCTACAGCTGATAAGCAAAATCCCATGCGAATTCTTTATCCTCATCACCTCTTGTTGACATGAAATTTTCATTTACTGCTTTTCGAAAATCAGATGCCTATAATAAAAGACTTGCTAATTAGACATTTTTGAAAGATAATCAATAATAATAACAAAGTTATCGAACACCTTGATCATTTTAACGATTAGTGCTTTGATTTCATCATAATCAAAATTCGGTAATTTTGGAGGATCGTAACATATCATTTCTTCATATTCGGATTTCGATAGTGAATTAACAAAATCACTATTAGATTCGGGCGTGAGATCAATGATGTCATAGTATCCAAGACTAATATCGCATAATGATAGTTAATGCACCATTTACTTTGATGTTTTATAAAATAATAAACTGAAACTTACTCATTATGGGGACGAACTTTTTCGCGCTTCCATTTTTTTAGCGACTCTCGAACATTTATCTTACCACCAATAATCCATTCTTCATTCCTAACGAGGCTTTCCTTGGCCAAGGTTTCGAGTGTTTCATCAATTATCGTGGTCTGTTGTATAAGTACGAAAGATATAAAAACATGCGTCAGGTATGCCCAGATTTCTAAAAATTACCTCAATATCTTGGGTAGAGTCAACAACAGGATCACAATTTTCGTCTGAATTAATGGTTTGTGGTGTTGAACCTGATATTGATGATCCCGAATTAGAACTGGTCGAACTTTCGTTACTAAGGGATGGGTCATCATCGTTTCCCTTTTCATCCACATTCTTGCTAGTAGTTTTGATCTGTTCATATAACGAATAGTGGTGAGGAATCCGCTTCTTGCCATAGGTTGAATCTTACACATACCTTCTTTGACGCAGTCGATTCGACCGATTCTTTGTTCTGTTTGTTCTGTGGATGTAACAAAGTAGCCATTAAAAAAAATGCTCGCATAAAATTCAAGGCAACATAAGGTTCTAACCTTCGAAAGAGATAATTGCTTTCTCCGCTTTGTTGGGTGATTTTTTGGAGGTAGAAAATCATCATCGGACTAAATACAAAAGAAAGAGTTAGTTTCTATTGGTGAATCACTTCCAGCAAAAAAAAAATACCTCTTGGTCTAGTTTCGATGATGGTCCAGTGAAATTTCCGCTATTGTTATTACCGCTAATACATATATTTCCATTCCCTGTAATTGGTTGGTGGACGTGAATCTGGCCATGTGGACGTTTTTACGGCCACCCTAAGTATGGAAAGAATTAATAATAGTATTCCGACTAACATCCCCAATTCATCATTGATTTCCATCCCACCAAACATCATAGCGACCGAGCAGGCCTCCTGTGCCAGTGGGTCCAGTGCAGACTCGGCGAACAGCCTTGAATGTCAGACGACCAAGCAGGCCTCCCGACACGTCATTCCCAGTTTTGTGGCTCAGCGAACAGCCTTGAATGTCAGGCGACCAAGCAGGCCTCCAGACACGCCACGTTCTCTTCAAACTATCTTCCAATAGGAAAAGAATTTTTACTTGCCTTATTATAGTCATCGAGAAGCATCCGTGCGCACTCTTGCCTGCTACCATGATCAAAGTCAACGATTGCTCTTAGTGATTTTATGTAACAGTCCGTCTTGTGGTCAAACGACTCTAGATTGCACTCGTTCAAAAAATCGAGAAGGCTCCAACTTTCATGATTTCGGTTGAAATAATAGTGAAATTTATTTTCGTACACAAACGATTTTCGGGTTATCACTTATACAGAGCATAGCGGGCTTTCTCTGTGATTAGTTAATTTTTTGCAGATCATTTATTAATTTCATCCAATCAGAAACAAGATAGATTATTTTGAAATTTATTAATTAATATCTTTCTGACTTATACACTTGTTAAAGTATTGATAGCTCTTTCAAAAAGTAAATCTATATTATTATCTAAAGGAAAAACTTCATCTATATTAGTACTATCAATAGTTTCAGAAATATTTAACTCATCTATATTCTCATCCACGGTTATTTTGTCAAATAAAGTCAGAATTTTCTGAAAAGCTTTATAATTTTTTTCGATTCCACTCACAAGATAATTAGTACAATACTGACATTTACTTTCTAATTTAAATAAAAAATACTCAAAGTGATAAGCATATCTGCAAATTAGAATATAACCTATCTTACAAGAATCTGTATAATTTTCAAAATTACAGTATCTATCTTCATGGGGAGGGTGTGTTGTATTCCAAGCCATTGGCAATATTTTAATATCAACTTGAGCTTTAAGTATTGAAAATTCATATACTTAAGATTTTGAGTGTATATATAAAATAACTTTTGATTTACTAAGATTCTGATAGACATCTGTAAAAAAATTTAACAAGAAAAGTACAGTACATTTTTCAAGATATTCTAACTATTTTGTTGAATATTTGATATTGTGATTCTCAGTAAATATATTCATAAAAGAATTATCACCACACATTTGATTAATTATTCATGCTTGTTGAATAATTTGTTCTGCTATATTTGATTTTTGTATTTATTATCAAAGTGAACTATAAAAATTCTCTACATAATAATTATTAAAAACGTGAAGAGAATCTATAAGTATTTGTAAAATAGAATGATTAATACTATCCCAATAAAAAATATTACTTAAAAATGCCAATGGCAATTTGTTGTAATATTTACACTTGTATTGATAAAAAATAGTCCAAATATAAAATATAGCTTTCTTATATATCATCCAATTTCCATAAAAGATGATAAGATAAAAATCTAAAACTAATAGAATAATATTATCTAACAAATTAATAAGATATCGAACTTCTGGATCTTTAGATTATTTGAATTTCTGCAGAATTACTAAACATACTCAGAACCAACCTTGAAATGCTAACTCAAGTATTAAATTAATTTTGTAAGATTTGGGCTTTTGTGCTAGTTTTTTTAAATGTTCAAATATTTCATGAAAAAGCTTGTTAAAAAATTGATAATTTTCAAGAAATACAGTTTCACAACTATTTAAGGATACATGTAAAGGTCCAATCATTAGAATAATATGCAAAATTTGCTCTGATATTTCAGAAGAGTTTCTAACTTTAATATAATAATTGATAGTACATCATACATGAAGTTGTCCAGGATAATTCATAGGTGCTATTAATATTTGCCTTTCCATAAAAGTTCTTATCTCAGAAATATCTATAAAATACTTAAGAGCATCTATATAATTTGTGATTAAATAAAGAGACCCTTCTTTTAAATCAACTAGTTTCATATTTTCTATATTTCAATCAGTTCAATGTTATTCAATTCTATTATCATAGCTATGAATCAAAAGATATTCAACTCATTCATCATGTGTTTCTGAAATAGGTATCAAATCAGTAAATGCTTGTTTTTATCCTATATAGCTAAGCCATGAATAAGAAAAGAATGATGAGTATGTATTTAATATGATAATTTTTGAATTAATATCCTTTTCATTATGAATACTCTTTTCTTAACAAAATAAAATAGATGTTATTTCTGACAAAACTTTTAGAAATATTATGATAAAATGTGAAACTTCATGTATGAATATTGTGTCACTATAATGATACTCATGAATATTGTAAAAATCATCCACATTGAGAATAATCAAGCTCTCAATCTGTAAAAAAGTTCACATGTATTAGTCATTATTTGCAAATTGTAAGATATAAAGATATTCATACTTACATTTTTTAATAAAAACTCTCTCATTGTCATCATATGTACTCCTGCATACCAAGTTTTCTGTCTTGCAATAGTTTTGCATCTTATTGTTAAGCCTGCACTAGTTAAAGTTTCTATTACTAATGAAGATGCTCCAGACATATCTAACAAAAGTCCAATCTTTGTCTTAATACCATTAATGAATTTATTATTAAGTTCTGCTAAGAAATAGTAAAATGAAACTAATCTTTTCTTATTTTTCTCATTGGTCATATAACTTTTTTCTTGCGGGTTAGTTCTAACTTGTAACAAAATTAGATTAGTTATTAATAATTAGATTATATTTATCTTTTATTTTGCAGATTATTGCTGCGCCACATACTGCGCTACACATGATCTACTGTGCCATAATCATTCAATCTTGCCAAGAAAAGTTACACAGTCTATTTGAGTTATTTTAGTTATAGATAGTTTCTTAGTAGAATTTCTCTTTTCTTTTGTTCTACTAATTTAGCTAGTATATTACTTGATTTATATATTTCATTTATAATTATTTATTTCTTTATTTATTCATTAATAAGCATCTTCCAGAGGTACTACCATATAAGTATTTTCTATTATTAATTTATTTATCTTATTATTAATTTTATATAACATTATTTTATTATTTAAAAACGCTGTTTTTGTTCTGTAATTTTTAGTACTAATATATTGAAATAAAGAATAAGTTTTAAACATAATCTCTTATTTGCTTTTGATTTAGTTTTCTATATGAATTCTATTTCAAATTACATCATTTATATCTTGAATCTTCTGTGTGAATTTTCCTGATATAATACTATATTCCATTTTTTCTTTGTAAATTATCTAGATATATTATACTATGTAACTAGAAGGTTATAACTTTGGTAGCAGCAGAAAAGGTTAATACACATACACACATCACATACACACACACTTCCTTAACATTTTCTCAATTGGTAAATGATACATCACTCAATTATCATTGATAAAGATTAATATATACATTCACATATACATACACACATATACATATACACATAATGTCTGATCCTGGTCTCTTAAGTGATCAATTCCAATAACTTCTTGCTGGTTTTACTAATCTTGTCCAATAATAGCAATAACTCACTACTGCTCTTAATAATAATAATAATAATAATGGTACTGATGGTGATGGACAACCAAGTTACAACCCTCCTATATCAAGAATACCTCTCAAGATTCTAACATACAAAGGAGAACCACATAAAAATATTAATATCTGGATTCTACAAGTAACTGAAGTATTGCGTGCCTAAGAAATTACAGATAAATAAACATATATCCTATATGTTAGAACTGATCTTGAAGATGCTGTCCTTCACTGGTATTTGAATAAAGTATGTATTGCTAGAGAAAACTCTGTTTTTGAAAATTGGAAAACTTTTCTTATTAAGATCTGTAATGTATTTTAACCACCTAACTATCAACAATATCTTCATTGTCAACTTCATCAACTTCATCAAACTGGTATTGTACAAGAATATGATGCTAAATTCAGAAATATCATAGGACAAATTGAAGGAATGGGAGAATTAGATCAAGTCACATATTTTATTGATGGACTTAAGCCTGCAACAAAGATGAAAGTAGCATATCAAGCATCAGAAACTTTTGATAATATCTGGAAACTTACAATTCATTATGACATAGCCATGTTTGGTATTGGTCATCCTTTGAAAGGAAATACTAGTAATCAAAATCAGAAATATAGGAGAAATCAAAATTTTTCTTCTAATAATAATCATAATAATACTGGTCTCACACTTATGGAGCTAGATTATGCTGAAAACTTTTACTAATTAAATTATAATAATAATAACAATAATAATAATAATCGTGATAGAAGTAATAACAGTTGTAATTGTTATAATTGTGGCAAACCAGGTTATTTTGCCAAGAATTATCACTCAAAAGGAAAAGCTAAGATTAATAATATTGAGAATAATACTATAACAACTACTATACAACATAATAATAATATCAAATTCACTCACCTTGAGGATAATCATGAGAAACTTTTGAAATTTAATAGTTATATGAATGGAAAGTTTGCTTGGATTTTGCTTGATAGTAAAGCATCACAAAATTTTATTAATGAAGTATATGTTAAGAATAATCAACTACAAATACATATCATGAATCCTATTACTATGAAACTTGCTGATGGTTATAAAAAGGAAGTTAACTCATCTGTGATAATCAAGAAATTAAAACTAGATACATATCACATCTCTAATATTAATGCTCAAGTTCTTAATATTTAATGTTATAATCTTATACTTGATAAACCCTGACTTTATCATGCTAATCCCACCATTAATTGACGTAATAATTTCATGACATTTCACTATGATAACAAAGTAATTAAGGTTAATACTAGCAAAGATAAACTTGCATCTAGTTATAACTCTTTTTATGTATCTCATCAACAATTTGCTGAACTTTCACCTAATACTGAGTTATTTATAATTTGTGCTGCTATAAAAGAAATACATCAAGAAGTATTAACTCTCCGTAAAGCCACTTAATTAATTAAAGAATTTGCTGATATCTTTCCTAACTTCTTGCCTAATGAACTACCACCAAAATGAGTAATTGATCATGCTATTGATTTAATACCTGGCTCTGAATCACCTTCTCATCTCACCTATTACTTGTCATATGTTAAGATGGATGAATTAAAGAAATAACTATTTGATTTACTTAATAAAGATTTTATTCGTCCTAGTCTTTTACCATTTGGAGCACCTGTCTTATTTATATATAAGAAGGAAGAAACTCTTCATCTTTATATAGATTATCATATCTTAAATAAAATTACAATTAAAAATC